TGAAGGTCCCCCTAACAATGTTATCTCAGGAGTTTCATCGATATCATGTTTCTCTTCGTATCTAAATTAAATCAGTTCATAAGGCCATTCTAATAAAAATTACACATTCATACCTAAAATCAACATAAGCGACATAGGAGAAACTAAAACTTCAAGAATTGCTAGTATATTTATAGTATACTATATACATTTTAATATTATAGACTATATAGTAATTACTATTATCATTATTATTGTAGGGAAAAAACAATAGCATATATGTCTATGCATGCACTATTCGTATATCATTATTATTATGATACTGAAACATTCAATAATTTCGGATAGTAACCACAGCTCTCCCCGAAACTCTTGCTTAGAGTCTTGCTTATGATTTCTGATGAGTTGAGTGATAAATGTAGTTGGGTTCACCCTAGTTTGTTTAAGGTGATGAAGGATTGATGGTTGAATTTTCCCACAATGATATGAGTAGAGCTGATGATTTCATTGAATTTCGCATAGCCTTTCTTTCCCAAAAGATTTTCTCATCATGAGTGGACTGCAGTTTCAACCTCGCCTAGGTCTTATCAACATCCCCAGAGGAAGTTTAACGGTAGATTTTAACCAGGTCTCATCAGTCAATGGATCCTGAATTTCATCACAGATAAAAGAATTTATTCATATATTTCTTAATTAATCAAATATTATGATATTAAATGTTACAATAGAGATAGTAGCAGCGGTCTAACTTCTAGGATTTGGATGGATAGCAAAGAGGCTAGAAAGGAGCAGGTTGAAATCGGATGTGATGAATAAGGCTGTCACGAAAACCAGAAATTTGCAGTTTGCTTTGGGTGCTGATGAGGCCTAGGCGAGTTAAAAACTGCAGTTCATCCTACATGATAACGCCTTTTGGAGAGCAAAGCAATGTGAAATTCAATTGAAAGATAAAACCTACTAATATTATTGTGGGAAACTTCAGGTATGAATCCTCAAATAGCCGGGATAATACCTACACGATGTGGGTGCAAATTTATCAATCGACTCATTATCAAGCATAAACAAGGGTTGGCATAAACTAACCGTCGACAAACTATTCAATAATTCACTATTAATATAGTGTTACTATGCCATAATATATGTATTTATACGATATTATTTGCCCTTCCTATAAAAATATGGATAATAGAAATTAGTATATATTATAAAATATTTAAATGTGTGCAGTATACTATAATACCATAATTTTTCTATCATTGGTTTCTGAATCCTTATGGTTTAGGGTTTGATTGTCTATTTTTCAGAGAATGCATTGAGTAACCCTCATGATGATAGTAAATTTCATTTATTATTTTTCGAGAATATATGTAACTTTTTAGAATAAAATGGCAAGAAGCTGGACTATATAAACTTCGATTGTGTAGTGAAGTAACTTTCAACTATCAGTCCTCAAATTGGCTTATGAGGTCCAGAGTGAATATGGTTGTTATTCAAGGTCTATTTCTACTCAAACGGATTCATTTCCTCCCTTTTAGGCATGTATATATCGAGTCGTGTTGGAGACAAATGCTCCGTTGCAGTTAGCAGACTGTCCGCTGAAACAGTCGTCAGGATGAGCGGCATAGGCATGACAATCTGGTTTCGATGCGTCACTGCACTCTTTGGCCTGAGCATTCTTGTTGGTGGCAGAGTTTTGTGCGACCTCTCTTTGGCCATTGATGCCCCCGTCGTGATTGAGATTCTGGAAGAGCAACCGGGTGGTACAGTTCTGGTGCACGATCTGCAGGCCCGGCTGCCCTCCAGTTTGGTGGCTGGAGCTAGCGCCTCACAACTGCAGCTGGCCATTGGCAATCCGACAAGTCCCGGAATCGACAAGTTGACCGTGCAGCCTCACCAGACACCCTCCTCGGGCACTCCGGTTGCCTGGCAACTGATCGTGAAACCCGGACAACGGGGACCAGATCGCGAAGAGTTGTGTGGACAAACTGATCTGTCGGCTCGTTCAAATGCGGTCGTCAGCATCATTGAGCCCCAGTCGTCAACGG